GGAGGACCGCCAGTTCGAGCTTGCTTTCCTCTCCGAGGCTGCTCCCCATCTCTGTTCCATGCTGCTAGTCCCTGAGGGTGACCCAGACGCTTTCGACATCCCGACCCCTCGCACTTACGCTGAGGCGACTTCGGGACCCTGGGCCTCGCAGTGGATAGCTGCCATGGAGCAGGAGATGGCATCTTGGAGATCCACCGGCACCTTCGTCGACGCAGTTCCCCCACCTGGGGTGAACGTAGTCGATGGCCGCTGGCTCTTCAAGGTGAAGCGCCCTCCTGGAGAGCCGCCTGTCTTCAAGGCGCGCTATGTGGCTAGAGGCTTCAGTCAGCGCGAGGGGTTGGACTTCTTCCAGACCTTCGCTCCGACCCCGAAGATGACTACTCTTCGGGTTCTGTTACACCTAGCTGCTCAGCGTGACTACGAGCTTCACTCCCTCGACTTCTCCACTGCCTTCCTTCAGGGCAGCCTACACGAGCAGGTCTACCTGTGGCGCCCTCAGGGCTTCACTGGCACCTTCCCTCCTGGGACCCAGTGGCTCCTGCGGCGCCCCGTCTACGGCCTGCGCCAGGCTCCCCGTGAGTGGCACGACACTCTCCGTGCTACGCTTGCTGACCTGCAGTTCTTTCCGTCTTCCGCAGACCCTTCACTCTTCGTTCGTGCTGGCCAGACTCCGTTCTACATCCTTGTTTACGTCGACGACCTGGTCTTTGCCACAGCAGATAGGGACGCACTGGCCTCCGTGAAGGCAGAGCTGCTGAAGAGACACACGTGCACTGACCTTGGAGAACTGCGCCGTTACCTTGGCTTGCAGATCTCCAGGGACAGAGCTGCGCGCACCATCACCCTGACTCAGTCACACTTGGTGCGCCAGGTCCTTCAGAGGTTCAGCCTTCAGTTCTCCTCTGCACAGCCCACCCCTCTGCCTGTAGACCACAGACTCTCCGCTCCAGTGTCTGAGGAGTTGGTAGAGCCCAGCGGCCCCTACGCAGAGCTGGTGGGTTGCCTCATGTACCTGATGACTTGCACTCGCCCAGATCTCGCATACCCTCTCAGCATCCTGGCTCGCTTTGTGGCCACAGGCAGACACCGACCGCAGCACTGGTCTGCCGCTAAGAGGGTTTTGCGTTATCTTGCTAGTACATCGGGCATGGGGTTAGTGCTAGGAGGACGCAGGCCAGTGGTCCTTACTGGACACACAGACGCTTCGTGGGCAGACGACGCTGAGACACTCAGGTCTACCCAGGGCTACTGCTTCAGCCTTGACTCAGGTGCCGTCTCGTGGAGAGCTACCCGCTCCTCGTCTGTTGCGCAGTCCAGCTGTGAGGCTGAGATCTACGCTGGTGCCATGGCGGCACAGGAGCTCCGCTGGCTGACCTTTTTGCTCACTCACTTAGGTGAGCGGCCTAGCTCTGCCCCGGTCCTGTTCGCTGACAACAGGGCCATGATCCTCCTGTGTCAGGAGCCTCGACTCGAGGGCAGAGCGAAGCACATTCAGCTGCGGTACTTCCTCCTGCGTGAGCTACAGCAGCGACGTCAGGCTCGCGTAGTACACTTGGCCTCAGGTGCCAACACGGCTGATATCTTTACGAAGGCGCTTGCGCCTAAAGATCATCAGCGGCACTGTGTACAGCTTGGTCTAGTTCCTGTAGCCTCTCACTTGCTAGGACCTTGACTTTGTACTGTCCTTTATACGTATACTCAGACTGGACTTGTGTCCTCTCGCAGTGGCTGGACTAGTAGTGCCGCCCTGCCCTTGTTCTTGCCTTGTTTGTACTCCTTCTGACTGGTCTCTCAGACCCTTGTCTCAGAGGTTGGACTAGTAGTGCCGCCCTGAGCTGTTTGTTTAGGGCATTCCCCTATGCAATCTAGGGGGTGTGTCAAACATGTGTATTTGTCATGTTTGTATAGACTGTATAGGGTCGCCTCTTAGAGAGTACAAGACTTAGGTATATCTTTGTGTACTCTCACTCTATCTATCATTCAATTTTCAAGTTTGATAATGCTCACCCAGGCCGATGGACTGGAAAGCCTCCTTGCACCAGTTGCGTATGGTGGTGTATGATGGCGGCTTGCTGGTAAGGACGCCACCTGCGGCCATGCCGAACACCCGGATTAAGGGTCCGGGAGTGGTGGGTCCATAGCCTGCCAACCGGATGAAGCGTCTGGTGCATCGGATAGGGCAGAAGGGTCTTGGGACGGCAGCAACAGGAACCCATGAGCGCTGACCTGCCTGGTCCGTTTTGGAGCGCGGGATGAGCGGCCACATTACGTCATCCTCAAACTGGATATCCTCCCAGTTGATGGTCACGAGATCGGAGTAACGCAAAAATCCGACGTACATGAGAAGGGGAATGAGATCTTTCTGGAATGTGGCCGGGTCATTGGCACCGATGAAGTGAGTAGCCATCTTGTGCACTTGATGTAAAGAGACCGGTTCCGTGGTCCGATTGGGCCGGGGACACTGCCGCTTGGCGAATTCTCGAACTTGTGACGTGAAGGGGCCAGTGCTGGGGCAGGATGCCCCAATCATGCGGTGAGCGAAGCTGACGGCCGAGCATGTGGGTTGTATCACTGAGAGAGTGGCCTTATTTCGAATTGCATAGACAAGGTACAAGGCGAGTGTCATGTCCGCGGTTGGCAGGAAGGGAAGGTTGACCTTGATGCAGAAGGAACGAAACTGCGGCCAGTAAGGTTCATAAGTTCGAATTGTAGAGTGTGCGCGCGTTTGTGGCATGACCGAGAGCAGCTCGCGTTGCAGGGTTGGGATTAGATCTGTTTGCGATATAGCCGGGGAGGCAGACATTAGGGAAACGCGACTTGCAGAGCGAGCATGAGGCTATCAGGTAGACCAGAGCCGGAGAAGGCACTAGTGTGTGTGCCTGGGGCTAAGCATTGGCTTCCGTGCGTGAGTCGGATGTGGGATTTGATGGGGCTAGCCCAGGCTGGCGGTGAGGGTTGGAGGAGTGGCCACCAGCTGGCGCCGGGCCAGTGGGGAAGTACCAGGGTGAGAAACGCGTGTGTACGTTGCGCATGGTGGAGGACGGCGGGGATCAATTGAGGTCGGGGGAAGGCAAAGCCGTGTTCTGCCGACCAAGAGATCGTGAAAGCGTTGATCGCCGTAGCCGCGGGGTGCGGGTTTTCGGAACAGAAACGACGCAGCTTGGCGTTGCTAGCATTGGCGAAGAGATCAATGGAATGGGGACCCCATCGCCGATCAAGGAAGTTGAACCACGGTGTTTTCAGCGTGTAGTCGTCGCGATCGAGTATCTTGGAGAGCTCGTCCGCATGCGTGTTGAGTTCGCGAGGGATCCACTCCATCATGAGGCGAACTCGGTGGGTAGCATACGTGCGAATGATCTCCTTGCAGGCGATGGTGAGATCAGAGCTGTGTGAGCCACCGTTCTTCAATATGAAGAAAACTCCCTGATTATCCACGCGTACGAGCACATGCTTGTTTCGGAGTAGGTCGCTGTATGTCTGCAGTGCCCATAGAACCCCTTCAATCTCTCGACGGGTACTGGACGTGTGTCGCAAAGCGGCGCGCATGTTCATACTGGCTTCATAAAGGTTGCCAGAGAAAGTGTTGAGAGTAGCCCCCCAGCCGTGGCTGCTCGCGTCGACGTGAATTACAGCGTCGTAGCTACAGCGCACATGAAATGGGGCACCGTTGAAGTGGTCAAACTCGGTTGACCAGAATTCCAACTCCTCGCAGGCGATAGGTGAGAGCGATACTCTGCTATTCCATGAGGGAGCGTCGTTGATGGTCTGCAGCAGGGCGTGGCTGAATGCCCTAGCAGTGGCTCCAAGCGCAAGAGCCATCGAAGCAAGCATACCAGTAACCCGCACGACGAGCCGGACGGGGACCTTGGACCGGCTGCGTCTGGCTTCCAGGAGCGACTAGATGGTAGCCTGCAGTGTGCCACGCCGTTCCGGACCCACAGAGAATTGGCCGACTTCGGTATCGAGTTCCAAGCCCAGGAAACGTAAGCGCTGGGTTGGTTGAAGGTGGGATTTCTTGGCGTTGATCACGAGGCCCGCCTTGCAACGATCACCAATAATGTGGGTGCAAGTTTTCCGGGCGTCGGCTTCCGAATGACAAAGGAAGAGGATATCGTCCACATACGGTATGACACGCACTCCCATTGTTCTCCAGCAACGCGTGAGCTGTTTGATCAACTGCGTGAAGATGAACGGTGCTGTAGCCAGTCCGAACGGAAGGGAGCAAAAACAGTATGAGTCCCGCCAAATTGAAAACCCAGGAATTTCCAACACGACGGGTGAATATCGACGTGGTGATAGCCAGACTTCAGGTCGATTGAAAACATCCAATCGCCTGCACGCGCCAGCTCTGCGATGCGATTGAGTCCCTCGTACTTGAATTTGGGAATTTGCAGCTCCTGGTTGACCTTGCGCAGATCGAGGATGAGACGACATTTGTCGCGCTGTTCCACAACGTTGAGAGGGCAGATGCATGTGAGCGCTGATTCTGGCACCTTTGCTGCGGCGCCGGTTTGGAGGAGATCCGCGATGGCGGAATTCGTAAATGCCTCGTGAATTTGGGCCCCCGCATGATTGGTGCTCCGGAAAAGTTGTGGAGGCCCTTGTTTCCAAGGCATCCAGTAGCCTCTGTCAATGACTGATATGATCAAGCTACTGGTGCACCACGAACGCCACCAGGGTAGTGCGTCTCGCAGGCGCCCGCGCATGGTTGAGACCGTCCGGTCCATCACTGCGTATTCGAAGGGATCACCAAGCCCCGTAAGGTCATGTGTGAGTAGTTCTGCAAATGGAATCCAACAAAAGAATGGGGTAAGGTTCGTAAATGCGGGGCAGAGTGAGCGCGAAGTCCACCAAACGTGATCGTGAGCATACACTTTTTTTTCTTTTTTTTTTGGAAGCCAGGGATGTATCCATGAAGGCTAGTGCCTGATACGATGTGAATTTAAAGGACTAGGGCAATGTGTATCTGGCCCGGCAGCCGGTCGCATGCTGCGCCACCGCGCACGCACTTTCGATGTTGCTTTCTCAAGTTCGGGCTCTCTCACTCTTTCTCTCTCTCTCTCTCTCTCTCTCTCTCTCTCTCTCTCTCTCTCTCTCTCTCTCTCTCTCTCGCTCTCTCTCTCTCTCTCTCTCTCTCCCACTCTCTCTCTCTCTCTCTCTCTCTCTCTCTCTCTCTCTCTCTCTCTCTCTCTCTCTCTCTCTCTCTCTCTCTTTCTCTCTCTCTCCCTCTCTCCCTCTCTCCCTCTCTCTCACTCTCTCTCTCTCTCTCTCTCTCTTGCTCTCTCTCACTCTCTCTCTCTCTTTCTCTCTCGCTCTCTCTCTCGCTCTCTCTCTCTCTTTCTCTCTCTCTCTCTCTCTCTCTCTCTCTCTCTCTCTCTCTCTCTCTCCCTCTCTCTCTCTCTCTCTCTCTCTCTCTCTCTCTCTCTCTCCCTCTTTCTCTTCCCTCTCTCTCTCTCTCTCTCTCTCTCTCTCTCTCTCTCTCTCTCTCTCTCTCTCTCTCTCTCTCTCTCTCTCTCTCTCTCTCTCTCTCTCTCTCGCGCACCATCTTTCTCTTGCGAAGCATCGCATGTTCCAGTAAGCCAAATCCCTCCAATGGCTTGTCAAAGAGCATGTGATGGGACGGAAGCTAAGGCTAGTTATGTACCTCGCGCTAGACATTGGAGGCCCAACAAAGTGTTTGGCTTCGTGTGCCTTAATGTGGCCACACCCTTTTTTTTTTTTTTTGGTCGTACCTTCTTCTAGGTTTGGCTTGGATGGAAAGGGCACCCAAGATAGGTTCCTAGGCTCCAAAAACGGAGCTGCCTTGTGAGGTCCCAAGGTATTGTGAGGCCTTTTTTCAGATTGGGGTTCTCAATAATATTTTAAGAAATGAGATCAACAAGAATGGAAAAGCTTGGCCCATGAGCTTCGGGTCTCGAGCCTTGGCCACTATCCAACAGTGATTCTATCCTTTAAAAATATGATGAAACGAAAAGTACCGGCACCTCCAAGGGTGCCACTACCGAGGTAGGTCAAAAACTGTTTTCTCCCCCCTTGGGGCTTGGCCCATGGCCTATACTCATACCCTCTATCAGGTTTGGCCAGCAGCCTTTGCATTCTAATTCCCAGCGAGGGAGTGGCCAGTGGCCCTAACCACCCTATGGTGCAGTGGCACGTACTCCGAAGTCCACAAAAAAAATCCTCATTTTCTTTTCACACAACGGGTGCGGGCCCTTGTGACCCGCTCCCATTCCCAGTGCAGTTGTTCGCCGTGTGGCCCGGCTGGCCACAGCGAAAGCAAGCGCCTCGGAAGCCCCTCTGGGCGCCGCTCGGTGGAGGGTCAAACTTCCCTCCAAAGCCCATAGGGCCGCGGCCTCCAACGGGATGGCCACGGCCATAGGAGCCTTGCGCGCGTTTCATTGCCGCAACGTCTGCAACTGCTTGCTTGAAGGGGCGTGAGGTGTGGACACTCTTCTCTTTGTAGAGCTTGAAGCGGTGTGCCGTCTTGAAGTCGGAGGCGTCGGCGACTTGGAGGAGCTCGAAGCGCTTGGCGATGAGCGCGTATGCCGCCTCGAAGTATTTGAGCGAGCTCGATGTGTCGCCGTGGCGCACCTTGTGCTCCACGTGCTTCAGGTACGCTCGCAGGTCTTCCAGGAACTCGGCTTGCTCGCGTACCCCAGCGTTATTGAACGATGATGCCGGGATGGTTGGGTTGGAGAAAAGAAGAGGTGGGAGGTGCTCGGTGGGTGCGAAAAAATTTGTGTGTGTATGAGCCTCACCACCCTCGTTGTCGGAGTCACTGTCTTCCTTGGCATTGTCTTGCGTGGCAGCGGCTAGCTCCTTCTCGACGCGGGCGGTCTTGGAAGGACGAGCATGACGCGACGACTCCTTTTTTGCATCTTCAATTTTAGTCGAGGCAGAAATGGTAGTCGCAGCTGCTGTAACCGCGGGTGTGTTTTGCTATAACAGCGCCAGCAGTGCCGCCACTTGCTCGTTGGTCAAAGCAGGGGCGGCAGGTGTTGGCGCGCTGGACGAGGCCGCCCCGCGGCCTCGCTTGTTCTGACGCGCGGGGCCCGCCCTGCCATTCGGCGCCTTCTGCGCGCTGGCGTCAGCAGGTGACGCGCCATCCGCAATGTGCGTCGCCTGCTGCTCGCTGGCGCGTGGCCCACCAAGCTCAACTTGGTTGACCTCGCCACTGCGCAGCAACAGGTCGAGGGCAGAAGGGGCGAGGTCGCCCTCTGTGTCAAACATGTGTAGTCGTTATGTTTGTATAGACTGTATAGGGTCACCTCTTAGAGGGTACAATTCTTAGGTATATCTTTCTGTACTCTCTCACTAGTCATCATTCACTACTCTCATTCTGATAAGGTATCACGCGTAGGTTAGGATCCCCCACCTACCGCTTCCGCTCGTCCCTTAGCCCCGTCGCGACCCCCTAGCCCCGTCGCGCCCCCCCCCCCCTGGCCCCCGTCGTGCCCCTAGCCCTGTCGCGCCCCTCCTGGGCCCCGTCGCGACCCCCTAGCCCCGTCGCGACCCCCTAGCCCCGTAGCGACCCGCTGGGCCCCGTCGCGACCCCCTAGCCCCGTCGCGACCCCCCCTGGGCCCCGTCGTGCCCCTAGCCCTGCCGAGCCCGTCCTGGGCCCCGTCGCGACCCCCTAGCCCCGTCGCGCCCCTCCTGGGCCCCGTCACGCCTGCAGGCCCAATCGCCCCCTGCCCGGCCCCGTCGCGCCCGCCCGGCCCCGTCGCACCTACTCGGCCCCGTTGCGCCCTGCCCGGCCCCGTCGCGCTCGCCCGGCCCCGTCGCACCTGCCCGGCCCCGTCGCGCCCGCCCGGCCCCGTCGCACCCGCCCGGCCCCGTCGCACCCGCCCGACCCCGTCGCGCCCCCTCGGCCCCGTCGCGCCCGCCCAGCCTCGTCGCACCTGCCCAGCCCCGTCGCGCCCGCCCGGCCCCGTCGCACTCGCCCGGCCCCGTCGCGCCCTGCCCAGCCCCGTCGCACCCGCCCGGCCCCGTCGTGCCCGCCTGGCCCCGTCGCACTCGCCCGGCCCCGTCGCGCCCTGCCCGGCCCCGTCGCGCCCGCTCGGCCCCGTCGCACCCGCCCGGCCCCGTCGCGCCCTGCCGGGCCCCGTTGCGCCCGCCCGACCCCGTCACACCCGCCCGGCCCCGTTGCGCCCTGCCCGGCCCCGTCGCGCCCGCTCGGCCCCGTCGCGCTCTCCGGGCCCTGTCGCGCCCTGCCCCGGCCCCTGCATCCTCACTGGTACGGTTTCCCCCTCCCTGCACCGCCCTCCACCGCACTGCACTGCACTGCATCGCACTGCACCGCCTTGCACCGCCCTGCACCGCACTGCACTGCCCTGCATCGCCCTACACTGCATTGCACCACCCTGCACCGCACTGCACTGCCCTGTTCTGCAGTGCACCGCACTGCACCTGTCACATGATCGAATGTCCCGAGGAAAGGTTTGCTCAATGTTGCACTATCAATCAGTACAAGGTGCTTTTATACTTCCAGAGTGCATCAGGTAACCGGGCTTATCCTATCCAAAGGGAATAGACCCTTCTAGAAATAGAATCACCATGCGTATAGCAACGCGAGGCTATTGGCTATAAGGGATTACTGCAGGATTACGCTAGATATAGCGCGCCAGTACATCCCGAGCCTGGTCGGTGATATAATTATAATAACAGGATAAACCAAAGGATAATGGAAAATGAGGAATAGGAAACCAAATGAGATGAGATAAAGACCAAATGAATCAGGATAAAAAGAGGAATGAAATAGAAAGGAAATATGAGGAAGGGGAAATTGGTGTAACGGGGTCGTACTCTCACAGCACCGCACTGTACAGTCCTGCACTGCCCCTGATGGCGGCGGAGCTTCGCTTCAACGCTGAAGGCCAGCCTCTGGAGTTCGAGGCGTGGCTTGCCGACCTCCGGCGCCAACTCACTGGCCAGCGGCAGGATGGTGAACCGCTTTCCGCACACCTTGACGGTACGCTCCCCTGCCCAGACCCCCCTGCTGTTCTGCCCGCTGACTCCGCACCCACTGAGCGCGAGTCTACTGCTGCCACTGCCCGTGCGCGCTCTGTCTGGCTTTCTCGAGATGCTGTCGCTCAGCTTGCCATTAGCAACGCCCTTCCCCCGTCCGAGCGCCCTCGCTTTAGGTCCCTCACTACTGCTCAGGCATACTTAGATGCTGTCATCAAGCGCTATTCCACCCCTCCGGCTGCCTCGGTGGGTCGCCTGATCCTCCCGATGCTCTTTCCTGACCTTGCGTCTTTCCCCACTGTCTCTGACCTCGCTGCCCACCTGCGCTCGATAGATGAGACCTGGCGCGCTGCCTGCACTGACGCACAGCTTAGAGCCCACCAGCCGCCCATTACCTCTACCCTTTACCTGCTTGCCACCCGCCTTCCTGACCGCCTTGCTGTCGCCCGCAACCGCTTCCTTAGCATTCACCCCGCAGACCTCACCCTCACTGACTTTGTCGACACCCTGACTGTGATTGAGACCCGCCACCGCTCCATCGCCCAGGCGAGCGGTACCGTGCCGGTCCCTATCTTTCAGGGTTGTGCCCCCGCTCAGTGTACCTTCTCCGACGGCTCTGTCGCTGTGGCTGAGACTGCTGCTGCAGCGCAGTTTCGTTCGGGGAAGGGCCGCCGCCCCAAGGTTGGGCGCGGCGGAGGAGGCGGGGGTGCGGGAGGGGGTGGTGGTGGAGTCGGGTCGTCTGGTGCTGGACGGACGAGGGGACCCTGCCCAGTCCAGCTGAGCCGCCGCCCTTGCAGTCGCAGCAGCAGCAGCAGCCGCAGCGGCCGCCGCAGACGCAGCAGCCGCAGCCTTCGCAGCAGCCGCAGCATCAGCCGCAGACGCGGCAGACGAGTGTACTCCCGCCCGGGTGGCCCGGCGCTGGCGGTGGTCGGGCGCGTGGTGGTATGCCGAGTGGTGGTTCAGGAGGCGTGCGTTGTCCGTACCAGATCTAGACCGGTCCTCGCCGCGGCTTCGTTTGCGGTAAGATCGGTCACTCCACTCCCCGCTGTTTTCGTCGCCTGGACGACCTGTTTCGTCAGCGCTTTGGCCCGTCGCCCGACCTCCCGGACTGGCACAGTTTGCTTACTCGTCAGATTCAGATTTTTGACATGGACATGGATGCCATTGTTTCTGCTCTGCATATGATGTATGCTGATGACTCTAGTGTGCTTCCCGCTTATTACTCACTGTCGGCTAGTGTAGGTGTGCCTAGCTTAGCCTCCCCTGCTGCGTCAGGCGTAGGATCCCCTGCTTTGTTTGGTCTTGGTGCTTTCGCCGTCGTTCCGTCGCCAGACGCCACTGCTTCGCTTTCCTTCACCTTGGACTCTGGCGCTTCCCGGTGTTTCTTCCGCGACTTCATGACGCTGACGCCGCTTCCTGTTCCTGCTGCCATTTCTCTTGCTGACCCCTCCGGCGGTCCGGTAGTCGCCCGCAGTTCCACCACCCTTCCCTGTCCGGCGGTTCCTTCGGGCTCTCTTACAGGTCTGCACATCCCCTCGTTCTCCAGGAACCTAGTTGGTGTCGGCTGCCTCCAGGACCTTGGCGTCACCACTACGTTCCCTGGTCACGAGCGGT